TTAGCCAGGAGCGTATTGAGGGCTGTGTCCTAGAAGGCCCGTTGTTAATTATTGACTAATATTAATATATGGTGTGATTTCAAATGAGCTGGGTTCCTACTTGTAGCTCTGCTGTGGAATAACCGTGGGCAGATCTAGGATTTAGGAAAAGGGCTCAGGAAGGGGAAAGGTGTGACACACAATTACATATAAAACACAACACATTTTTCTCCAGTTAAAAAAATAAATTAGTTGTTTTACTAATATGCTAGGGGGCTAATACTATATTATTCAGTTTAAGATCAAAGCAAAACCAAATAACTACTGAAAAATTGCTCTGATTTGCTAGATTTATGTATGCAGTTAAAAAGAAAAACAACCCACAAACTAAACAAAAATAGTCAAAATATATCTTGTCATTAGTCCTTTGGTCATAGTTAAATATGTCTCTTATTCATAAAACAAACTCTGTCTTTCCTGAGAGTCTTGACAGGACCTCTACTTCACTGTCAGTCATTTCTATACCTGAGTTAGTATTACCACACCTAAGCTGAGGTTTTTAGTAAAAGTTAAAAACAGTTTGCAGGTCTGTGAAATAGAAGGGGAAGATTACCAGGCAGGGCTGACACAGCAAAATTGCAGAAAAAAGGATAGTTTGAATACTGGAACTTTAAGACCATTAAAAAGGATAGAGGTTTGTTAACACCTTTTGGAGTTGAGAGATTAGCAGAAATTAGAGAGATGATAATGAGCCCTGAAGTCAGTTGAATGTCTCAGCACTGCCTGACTAGACATGCTGCTGCTATGTATATAGGTTTAGGAATGTTATTTCTTTTACTGCTTTGTGGAGGGAGGAACCATGGAAGGGGTAGAAAGAAAGCAGAGAGATCCAAAAAAAAAAAAAAAAAAAGGGGGACTGAAAGTTGTTGTTTTTTTTTTTTTAATTTGAGGGAAAAATTTTAAAAAGCTGATACAGTTGCTTATTTAACAAATGCTAAATGAAGCACGTACTATTTCTCAAACATTGATCTTGGCCAATCTAATGAATCTTTGCTTCAAGTATACATGCTCCTTGGAGAAGCTTTCCACAAGGGAAGGAAGCCTAGCAACCATACACAAACACGGGCATATTTTGGTGATCATTTACCCCAAAGAAACAAATCAAATCTCTGAATTGTCAGCACCTAATTCATGATCTACTGTCCAACAAGTATCTTTGTAGGATCATGGGATACATTTCCTTGTCTGCTTTTTGCCTTTTGCTTTTCATTTATTGTCTCAAGTCCAAATATGCACTCAGCTTTGGGATGGAGATGATCTTGGTGATCAGTCATGCTTGGTAGCCACTGCCTAAAGCAAAATGTAGAGGTCAGGACCTGGGATTGGAATTCACTGGAACTACATATGTTTATAATAGTAGCGCAGTAGTGATCAAATACAACTGCCGTTAGCTATTTGGTCTTAAGCCTATAATCATTTGTCTTAATTGAGAAACTGAAAAACCTTATAATGAAGAACTGTTTTAAATGATATAGAGCTAAGATGATCTCTCAAACTTAGAAGAAGCTATGAGCCAGTATTTTGAAACAGCTCAGCTTTGAGTTTTGGCTTCTTCCAGAAAGCTGGCCAGAAGAACAGGGATTTTTGCGTAGTTTTTAATTAATCCCATATTTTTGTGACTGAGTGGGGACTGAGCTCTCGTAAAAACTTGACGCTAGTTCTGGGTTCTGAACACTTGAAGATCTCTTGCTAGCTGGCAAAGCCTAACTTTGTTTGACGGTCTCTCCCTTAGTTATGTAAAGATGGTTAAAACAAGAATGCCCAAAGGGAGCTGATAGGAATCCAGTTGAGAAGGCATTTAAATTTGTACAAAGCTTTCTAATGCATTGGGGTAGGAGGCAGGGGTTAGGCAGAGATGGAGAGAGAGCATGAGAGAGAGAGAGAGAGAGAGACTTGTTTTAAAACAAATGCTGACAGTGTAAAGATGTGTGGCCCTCTCAGAGGCTGAGCATGAAACACTTGTCAATGACAAAAAGCACCATGTTGCCAGACTGAAACCCCCTTCCCCATGCCTCTCATGGGGTTACACATGTAGGACCAGCTGTTTGTCTTCTGCCTTGCAGAACGCCCTCTTGATGGCCCAGTGTGACACAAGCTGGTCCACACTTTGTTGCTAGGTGAAATGTCCAAAGTCAAATGTGGTGTGCTCAGACCAGGAAGCAGAAAAGTTGGAGGGCATCCCTAGACCTGGCACCTGCAAGCTAGTTTCTGCAACTTTTTCAGTCACCATCTTGGCCTGGCCTGGCAGGAAATTGGCCAAGTAGATCATACTCTTTGGCTGCTTGGTATGGGGTAGAGAAGAAGTACGTTGTCTCGGAGAAGTTCAAGTCCAGCGTGCCAAAGAGGGTGCCAACAGCAGCAAAGAGCAGCTGCATCCGAAGGTGATCCAGGAAGGCATGGAAGAGTCTCCTTCACTTCTTACTCACAGAAAGGGCAGGCTGCCACTAAGTCTCCGTGGCAGACAAAGATGCCTGTGGCCAGGGGCCCCTGCAGCAGCCACCACTGGAGGTCACTAGTTCCCTTAGCAATGCGTAGCTTGTACAGTGTGCCAGGGCCAGGCAGGCTTGCTCTGGCGTTGCTGCCGCTGGGAGGAAGAGGAGGAAGGGGAGCTGGAGAGACAGAAGAGGAAATTAGGAAAGATTACTTTGGCAGGAAAGAAGACCAGAGGCCAGATTTACACCCTGCTCAAGGCTCTCTAAACCAGTTAATGCAAAAAGGGGTAGATCTGTCTCCTGCTCAGTGCTGCTTGTGACACAGTCTTAAGGCTAAGGTGGTAGCATTGGCATGTTACAAAATACTGCTGTAAAAATAGCTTGTTAACTTTTTTTTCAAGGACTTGAAAAATCCAGTAGTTTACTTTGGGAGAGACCTTTCTGCTATTAGGTGCCAACATGTGACCCTGTTTTACCCTGTTCATGTCCATTTAGTTTTTCTGAAATATTTCTTGATGCTGCTGAAAGTACTTATGTATTTAAATTATGCACTGAGTTTGTGGATCTGTTAGAATTTGTAAGGGAAAACCTGGTAAGGTTTCTGTGTGTTAGTAAAACTACTTAGTTCAAGAGATGGTCCCTACTGCTAATATCTGTGGAAAACAACTGGGGTCAATGCAATAACACAACCTGAAATAATCCCCAAGTAGGTAAAATAAGACACTGCATGGAAATTTGGTCAGAGATGTAGCAGGATTGCCTAAATTGAACAAGCAGCAGGCCTGATATATTAAATAAATGTTTCTTATGTGTGCACAAAACAAGCATGAGAAGGCAAAGTGAAGCAGTTGCTTTTCCAAGTAAAATTCAGCA